TAGTGGTGGTAGTGGTAGTGGTAGTGGTAGTGGTAGTAGCAGCAGTAGCAGCAGTAGCAGCAGTAGTAGCAGTAGTAGCAGTAGTAGTAGCAGCAGCAGCAGCAGCAGCAGTGGTGGTGGCGGTGGTAGCAGTAGTGGTAGTAGCAGTAGTAGTAGTAGTAGCAGCAGCAGCAGCAGCAGTGGTAGTAGCAGTAGTAGTAGTAGTAGTAGTAGTAGTAGTAGTAGTAGTAGTTGTGTAGGACAACAACAATAATAAATAAATGAAAATGGTGGTGTTGGTGGTGTGTGGCATGTGGCGGTGATGTAGGAAGGGCATAGTAATGGTAATGTTATAGGTGTAGTAGCAGTAACAGCACTGGTGTTACATATTGCAGTGTAACTGAGTGCTTATGCCTTATTCATATATTTTACACACTGTAGTCCATCGATTTCTTCATGACAATGCTCTTCAAGCATGACTTGAACAAAATGTTATCTCCACAAATGTTTTGCTTTTATTGTCAGTATGACAACGTTTTACATCTTATATTAAGACACTAAAGTGTGCTAATCTGATAATGAAGGAAAGTGTGAATAAGGAGTCAAGTCCCATCCGTATATTCTACCATGGCCCTTACACATCACATTAAGAGGCAGAGCTAATACATACACTGACAAGAAAGTAAACGTCACAGTAACTTTGAGTGTTCTCTGTCAGGTCAGTGGTAAGAAGGAGGAAAGTTGGAGAAAAAGAACATACAAGTTATTTTTATGTTAATAGGTTGGATGTTTTTTTTCTCTTCTGTCTACAATATTCTTTGTTTCACAGTTCCTGGGCAAGTTGTAGATTTAGACTTGAAACCAAATCCACACAGTGTTAGTCTGCAGTGGATGAAACCAAGCAATGATGGTGACTGTGTTACACATTATGCCATATCTTGGAGACACACTGGAAGTGAAAACACTAATAGCATTGACATTGGAAAGGAGGAATACTCCTTTGTCATAGGAAATCTTGATGCCTGTGTAGAATATGAAATATCTGTTAGTGCTGTAAATGAGAATGAAGAGGGGAATATCACATCAGTTAACAGAACAACAGAAACAGTTGGTAAGTAGCACTTACTGTTCATACCTTCTTATTTGTATATAGCTAATATGCATGAAATGAATACATGTTGGGAAAGTCATGTCTGCTTGTTTAACTCATTCTCAAATATCGCCCTGGAGATGTAGTCAGCCACTCAGTTCAGTCAGTCATTCGACCTTTTCACAGAATTTTAAGATCTCTCTTAGATTGCACTTAGTTTGAATGTACCATGTAGGAAACAGGAAAGGTGCATGAATATTTTTGCTTTTATTGTCAATATCACAACATTTTATATCTTATATTATGACACTGAACTGTGCTAATATAATTATGAAGAAAAGTGCGAATCAGGATTCAGACCTCATCCAGATACTCTACATTAAGAGGCATAGTTATTCATGCACCAACAAGAACATAAATGGCAGAATATTTTTGTGTATTCTCTGTCAGGTTTCATGGTAGGAAGGAGAAAAGTTGGAGAAAAACAACATATAAGTTATTTTTATGTTAATACATTGGATGTCTGTTTCTCTTCGCTTTACAATATAATTTGTTTCACAGTTCCTGGGCCAGTTGTAGATTTAGATGTGAAATCAAGTCCACACAGTGTTAGTCTGGAGTGGATGAAACCAAGTAATGATGGTGACTGTGTTACACATTATGCCATATCTTGGAGACACACTGGAAGTGAAAACACTACTAGCATTGACATTGGAAAGGAGGAATACTCCTTTGTCATAGGAAATCTTGATGCCTGTGTAGAATATGAAATATCTGTTAGTGCTGTAAACGTGAATGAAGAGAAAAATATCACAACAGTTAATAAAACAACAGAAACAGTTGGTAAGTAGCACTTACTGTTCGTACCTTGTTAAGTATGAAATGAATTGGAATGTCATGTCTGTTAATTTAACTCATTGCCAAATATCATTGTCTTGGAGGTGTAGTCAGCCACTCAGTTCAGTCAGTCATTCCACCTTTTCACAGAATTTTAAGATCTCTCTTAGATTGTACTTAGTTTGAGTGTACCATGTAGGAAACAGAAAAGGTGCATGAATATTTTTGCTTTTATTGTTAATAACACAACATTTTATATCTTATATTACGACGCTAAACTGTGCTAATCTAATTATGAAGGGAAGAGCGAATCAGGGTTCAGACCTCATCCAGATACTCTTCCATGGCCCTTACACATCACATTATCAGGCAGAGCTATACATACATACACTGACAATAAAGTAAGTATAACAGTATCTTTGTGTATTCTCTGTACGGTCCATGGTAGGAAGCAGGAAAGTTGGAGAAAAAAAACATACAAGTTATTTTTATGTTAATAGGTTGGATGTTTGTTTCTCTTCTATCTACAATATTTTTTGGTTCACAGTTCCTGGAGAAGTTGTAGATTTAGATTTGAAACCAAATCCACACAATATTAGTCTGCAGTGGATGAAACCTAGTAATGATGGTGACTGTGTTACACATTATGTCATATCTTGGAGACACACTGGAAGTGAAAACACTACTAGCATTGACATTGGAAAGGAGGAATACTCCTTTGTCATAGGAAATCTTGATGCCTGTGTAGAATATGAAATATCTGTTAGTGCTGTAAACGATAATGAAGAGGGGAATATCACAGCAGTTAATATGAAAACCGAAACAGAGGGTAAGTAGTACTTATTGTGTATTTCTTTTATACACACACACACACACACACACACCCGCGTCACTGAAGCATATAAAATGAATGCATTGTGAGAAGTTTTGGCGGCGTATTTAACTTATGGTCAAATATCATCCTTTTGGAAATCATATTTTGGTCAATCTGTTGAGTTAATGATTATATATTTCTGATGGAGTCTGAAGTTCACCCTTAGATTATGGTAGCACTTTCTTGTGTTATGAAGGGGGCAAAGCCCTCTTGCCTTGGTTTCTTATTTCCTTGAACAGATAATGCATTCAATTTTTTGATATGGACCAAATAATATCAGAACATAGGCTAACACTGCAAGAACAGTGTTGTCCTGCCATTTAAATGTAGCTGGAAGGGCAGATGGGGTGCCATTCATAGATGTATTAAGCGGGTTAATCTTTAAGTCTACTGTGGATTTTGAATATATTTATTATTGAGTTATACTCCAAAATCTGTTAAGTTAAATTTCAGTTTGATACACAATAAATTCATATTTGACATCATAATTTTTGGTAGAAATGCCTCATTGTGTATGATAATTGATACATGACAAGAGATTGATGTCATTACATTCTCTGATGTGTGTTCCTTGAAATGGAAGGAAATATGTTTAATATGTCTATCAGTGATGTCTGTTTTCTGTATGTACACATTGTACATCATCAGTGTATGGCTCCATCTCTCATCACATCATACCATGATGCTGGAAATAGAGACAGTCTCTGAAACCTTGGATACCATCTCCAGCTTTACATGACTGAATGCCCAAGAAGACTTATTTTTATACTGTTACTCTACTAAATTTTTATTAAATCGTATATTCTGAAGAGAGACTCTGCTTCATGTAGTTGTTTAGTCCCTCTGGACTAGCTGACCACTGAAATATTGTGAATGTAAAGAATTTTCTGTTTAGTTCAGTCTGTCGTTATTCTCGTGTCAGTGCCTAGAGAAGTTTTAAACTTACTTTTGGAACCAACTTCACACTATTTAAAATTGAGGGTTAATCTGAGTGACATGTAGTCAATTTTTGTTATTGTTAATATTAGTGATGAAGATGGCAATAATTTAAATATTTTGAGAGTTCAAAATTTCATGATTGGATTGATCTGGCTCGGGGTACAGTCCAGGGGAGGGCTGTTGTGAACACAACAGTGAACCTCAGAGTTCCATAAAATCTTGAGTAGCTGCCTAACTGGCGGCTTCTGAAGAAGGTCTCAGCTCCATGAGTAGTTTGTTATGGATTTTCATGATAGTGAGTGTTCAACCTCTACTTACGAGACTGTGTAGTCATGGAGGTAGATACTGTCACGTGTTTTCTAGGTAATGCGACAAGAAATTTGTGCTGGTTCTCAGATTTTAACGAATATTTATTGGACAGTCACTATATACACTCACAATTATTCTCAACTTATAACGTCAGATGTTTCCACTTCACTATTACAGTTACTTGCACCGCTGATCTTGGTGAAGTGTCTTCTGCTCTGCTCAGAACTCAACTGTCATTAGCTCCTTGTTGGATACGAACTCACTCTTTGCTAAAGTCAAATACAAACTGTCCTGTTCTAGTCGGATAAGAACTCTACTGGTCTCTGGCCAACGTTGGACTGTTATAATGTGCACTCAGACTGAATAGAGAATACCTTGTTGAAGGGTTCATTTCACCTGCTCCTACGCAGATGCTGCTTCAAACAATTCGTTGCTGTGGGAATATGTGTCTGCCTCAAACAATCCGTTTGTAATTGTGGAAACCCCACTGTTAGATTTTCATTTCTGGGACAATGATTTCCTAGCCTTCGCTGCATAGGCATTGCTAGCCGTTGTATAGCAACGGATGTGTTCTGATTCCAAATGATCCGGCAATAGGCGGCCCGCCACAAAAAAGGACAAAAAAGTTATCCACCTCAAATACTGCATGGTGTCACAACCTAGAAGACCACGATCTTAAAAGAAGTGTTTATTTACTTTCTGCATTTAATGATTCAGTAGTCTCATGGCACATTGCTGACTGTGATCATGACAAGTGTGGTGAGAAAAGATCTGTATGCATATATGCATATTAAGTACAATTAATATTTCAGTAATGAAGGACCACTATAAAATATGATCAAGAAAACAGTTTTAGTTCCAAGTACATCAGCATCCCTGCAAACATCATTAGCAGCTGAAGCATATAGAGCTGAGGGACAGCTTTTACTTGAGGAGCACACATTGAACAAAAGAAGACTGTGGTATACCAAGCAGGAATTTGTAGTTGAACGATTTCCACAAGAGAAGGACAGACTATGAAACCAAAGTAAACTTGAAAAGGGAAGAGTGAATCAGAATGGTACCCCCTCCACACCATGTAAGGAGTGATATTATAACTGCTCTGAAGTGTAAGGGTGATTGTAATGGCCAAGGGGAAAGAAACGATTAAAACAAAGGGCTTCAAACTTCTACTGGATGTGTTCCAGTTCACTGGCATCAGTTGCCATGATGATGATGATGATGACGATGACGATGACGATGACTATGACAATGATGACGATGATGATGATCGTAATTTTATGTTAGTTGTGTTGAACCCCTGAGTTCTATTATTATGTCTTTTGTTGTTTTTGTTCATTATGATGACAGTTACATTAATAATCTCTTAAGATAAAAGGATGATCATTAATAACCTACACATCTCAATTCTTTCAATCTCTTTTGAATCCTATTTCTGTAATTTAGCCTTCCAGTAGTTCTACACCCAGAGTGATGAGCAGAACTTTGCTTAATGAAACTTCATGACACACACTTGGGTTCACGGACTGAGTTCCTAAGTGATGAAATCTTATTCCTCTATGACATGACAGCCACATAGAATATGTAAGGCTGTAACTTGTTCCTCATGAGATCTACTGCAGGGAACAGCTGCATGCCCCAGCCATAGTTGCTTTATATTCCAGTGACAGGCTCTTACTGATGATCATAGTTCTACCACTGTGTGAACTACTTTCTGTTTAGTTGCAGTAGTTCTCTAGTTGTTTTAGCAAACGAATCCTGAAGAGAACTCTTTACATGTTTTGGTACTGATATGTTCTTTCTTTATTGTGTATGACATGTTTCTTACGCTCTTGTTCCCAATTTGATATCATTCTTGGATCCTTTTCTATTTGTTTCATATGAGAAATTTCATTGGGATTATATCTCGCTACATTCATAAAATGTGCCAATCACTCACTCACTCACTCATGGAGATAACCACTTCTTGAGAAGCCACTAATTATGCAGCTACTCAAGAATTTCCCAGAATTTTATGGAACCCGAAGGTTCATTACTGTGTCCACCAGAGCCCTCCACTGGTCCCTATCCTGAGCCAGATTAGTCCAACCATACCAACCCATCCCATCCCATCCTGTCTCACTTACTTACTTAACTTACTTACTCATGGAGCTGATCCCTTCTGGAGGAGCCGCCAATTCTGCAGCTACTCAAGAATTTCTCAGCACTTTATGGAACCCGAAGGTTCATTACCGTGTTCACAAGAGCACTCCACTGGTCCCTATCCTGAGCCAGATCTATCCAATCCATACCATCCCATCCTTTCTCTCTAAGATCCATTCTAATATTGTCCACCCACCTACGCCTTGGTCTTCCCAGTGGTGTCTTTCCTTCTGGCTTTCCACCAATATCATATACGCATTCCTCATCTCTCCCATTCGTGCTACATGACCTGCCCACCTCATCCTCCTTGACTTGATAATTCTAATTATACTTGGAGCAGAGTACATGTTATGAAGCTCCTCATTATGCAGTTTTCTGCAACCTCCTGTCACTTCATCTCTCTTCGGTCCAAATATTCTCCTCAACACCCTGTTCTCAAACACTCTTAGTCTATGTTCCTCCCTTAATGTCAAGAGACCAAGATTCACACCCATACAGAACCACAGGCAAAGTTATAGTTTTGTATATTCTAATTTTTATGTTTTAGGACAGCAGATGAGAAGACAAAAGGTTCTGGACTGAATGGTAGCAAGCATTACCGATTTCAATCTCCTCTTAATTTCCTCCTGAATCAGGTTTCGTTCTGTTATGATGTTCCCAAATATCTGAACTGTACCACATTTTCAAAACATCTGTTTCCTATCTTTATGCCATGATTTTGCCCTGCCTTTTGGTGACGAGACAGTAACATATTGTAACGTGTTTCGGTTACTGAATACGCGGTAGAGATCGTTAATTGGTTTATTTAACAATCTACAAGTAACGGCTACAATTACTTATCACACAGTTGCGGGGTTTCACACTTTATAACCGTAATCGCATTAATCAGTTTACCACTGTTGCGGGGTTTCACACTTTATAACCCTATGCGCAATTCAGTTCACTCTGCCTTCAGTAGTCTACACATTTACAGTAGGGGAGCTATGTGTCACTGTATCACACACTCCCAGTTACACAATCACACACACGTCCGGTTCTTCTTTCCACGACGGCTGCTATACTCCAACTGTAGTCGGCTGACTGGAGAACTGTTGATAACACACTCGCTCGTAGGCTTGCTTGGAACTATTTTCGGCGATGGCCACGGTACAACTAACTCGGCGACTGTTACGTTACAACTGACTCGTAGCTGCTGTACAGTTCCCTTATATAGCCGCAGTGGTGCCTGTTGCGTGCCACGTCACAGGAGTTGTTGACTGCTGTCTAGCAACCGCGATGTCCCTTGGTGACGTCACCGCTGTTGACTCGCGTTGCATAGCTACCAGGTTGTGGGGACTCGGCTAACTTCGGCTCCGCTCGTGACGTCACCGCGGGGAGGGTGGCGGGGTGATGACTCGCCTATTATGCGAGCGCTACGTTACCGCCACGTGCCGCTGGGAGGTAGGGGTCCTTCGTTGTGCAACATGTCACAATATACTTAAGTTTTCTCTGTGTTTACTTCTAGACAAACCTCTTTACTTGCATCAATTAAAGTTTGTGTATTTTTCTTTATGGTATTTACAATATCACCCAGTAGAGTCACATCATCGGCATAGACTAACAGCTGATGTGTCCCATTTAATTTCAGTCCCACCTGGTTTCCCTGGACCTTCCTAAAGGCATATTGTAAGGCAAGAACATTCTGGATAGGCAATTTATCAGACAAATGTTTACCTACACGGACTTGACTATACGTTTCGTTTAAACACATTTTAATCAACCTAACTGGTTTCATGGGTATCCCAAACTCTATTAGAATATTGTACAATACTTCCCTCCAAACTGAATCATAGGCTTTCTTGAAGTCTGTGAGTAGCTGATGTACTGTCTCATTGTACTTCCATTTTTTCTTCAATATAATGAATGCAAAAGATCTGATCTGTAGTTGATCTGTTACGTCTAAACCCACACTGATGATCCCCAGTAATTTCATCTATATATGGACTTAACCTTGAAAGAAGAATATTGGATAAAATTTTATATGAAGTTGATAGCAGTGATATCCCCTGATAATTACTACAATCAGTTTTGTCACCCTTCTTGCGAACTGGTACAATAATAGACTCTTACCACTGATCAGGCAATTTTTCCTTATGCCAAATAGAAGTAATTAGATTGTGGATCTTAGAACGTAATATTTCGCCTCCTGCTTGAATAAGTTCTGCCGGAATTTGATCACTACCTGGCGATTTATACCCTTTCAATTTTGTAATAGCTGCTACAATAATAGACTCTTACCACTGATCAGGCAACTTTTCCTTATGCCAAATAGAAGTAATTAGATTGTGGATCGTAGAATATAATATTTCGCCTCCTACTTGAATAAGTTCTGCCAGAATTTGATCACTACCTGGCGATTTATACCATTTCAATTTTTGTAATAGCACTTTCAACCTCAAAAGGGCTAGGATCAGGTATTAACGGCTCAGCTGTATGGATTTCTTTCTGCCTAACATCACTGACCCTATGTACATCCAATAACTGAGAGAAGTAGTTCCTCAACCTATTCAAAATGTTGTGGGAATCTGCAAGCAGATCACCATTCTCATCCTTCACTAAGTTACTGCTAGGCTGGTAACCCCTCTTAAAGTCATTTATTCCTCTATACAGGTCTCTAATGTTCATGTTCTTACTGTTCATTGCAAGCTCATCGATTTTGTTTTTCAGATAGTCCCTCTTTTTTTATTCCTGAAATTCCTTCTTGTTTCACGTCTTATATTGTTCAGATTATCCCCATTTAACTCACTTGGATCCTGTAACCTTTGCAATTTGGCCTGCTTTCTTTGATCTAATAATTTTGAGCATCCTTCATCAAACCATGGCTTGTGCTTCTTCGGTTCATAATGACATAGACTCTCTTTGGCAGACATTTTTATATTCTCTCTAATAGTTTCGTAAGTTTTATTAGCATCCACCTCAGTGTCCAAGTTTTCCAGAGCCGCAAACCTATTTGAGATTTCAACACGATACTGCTCCTTACCCTCTACCTTGTTTAATTTCTTGAGATTGAACCTCTCCGGATGGACTCTGCGTGTTGTTTGCTTACTCACTGCCAGTCTTTCCCTAAGTTTTGCCACCACCAGGTAGTGGTCAGTGCCACAATATGCTGCCCTTAATGGTTGGTCATCAAGTATACTTGAATGCCATCTCCTGTCTATCAAAATATGGTCTATTTGATTGTGTATCTACCTGTCAGGAGATGTCCAAGTAAATTTATGGATGTTACGATGTGGAAACATTGTACTTTTGACAGTAAGTTTTTTTGATGTGGCAAACTTTACTACTCTAACTCCATTATCATTACTAATTTCATGCAAACTCTCATTCCCAATTATTGGTTTGGAAATGTCTTCCCTCCCTACTTTGGCATTGAAATCTCCTAACAAAATTTTCATGGTGTACTTCGGGAATTTATCAAATACATGTTCTAGTTCTTCATAGAATCTATCCTTTATGTCGTCAATTTTATCTTCTGTTGGGATGTGAACATTCAGAACAATGATATCACACCAGTGACCTTTTAGTATTATATATGATATCCTATCACTGACGAATTCTACCCTCTTAACTGCTGATATGATTCTCTTACGTATGAAAAAACCTGTACCTAATTCATGATTTTCATTCCCCTTTCCATAAAAAAATGTATAGTCTCCTGCTGGTGCGATGCCACCTCCATCCCATCTGACCTCCTGTACTCCCACTAAACCTAACTTATATTTTAAGATTTCTTCTGCCACTGCCCTGAACGAACCTGCCCTATACAAACTTCGAACATTCCAAGTGCCAAATCGCATATCCATTTTCATTAGCTTATGTTGTATATCCAAGGAATCCGTCCAGGTCCGAGGCTTTGTGTTCATTTTTGTAAGATAATGATTTTTTTTACGATGAGGAGTTGTTAGCCCCACGCCCAACCCCCAAGATGGAGGGCCACCGCCACCCCTTGTTGGCTGTCCGCGACTGCTTATTCAATATATTCGCAGCTTCCCTCCAAAACTGGAGGGTGTCTCCTCCACCCGCAACCTGAGGACATGCCATACCGTGGTGACAGGGACCCACCTAACATGGCATCCTCTCTCTCTAAGATCATAAAATGTGCCAATGCAACAGGAGCAGGAATATCTGAAATATTGGCTAAAGAAAATAAATATGAAAGAATCAGGTAATGTTGTTATTAGGAAGCAGTGTGAGGAGGGTGCCGAATAGTTCAGAAGATTGCTTGTTGCATTTGGTACATACGTGTATACATACGTATATTTTAAGTAGGTTCCATATGCGTATTACTGACTTACTTATATCTTCACTCTACAGTCTTCTGAGAACCTTTGCCTCTTTTACAACAGATGCTGTTCTTTCCTATTATTTGCCCTTTATCTCCATATCATCAATTTTAGCTCTTTTGAAATCATCCTCTCCATCATCCAGCCATCTCAGTCTGGGCCTTCCAACTTTTCTTCTACCTTCTAGCTTAGTTTCATGAATTATCTTAGCCACCCTGCTTTGATCCATTATAATCACATGCCCCAACCACTCCTACCTTCTCCTACCAGTGCTTTTATGTAATCCTGTACAAGAAGCTTAAGCTTAAAAATGGAGATGACCTTAAATGGATGTTTAAATGCAAAAATATATATGCTCCAAAACTGATCCAATTATTATGACTGAATTTCACGCATTTATTAAGAATCTATTAAAAATAACATTGTACAGACTTCAGATCCTAAAGGAATTATGGTACAGCATGCAGGAATTGGTTTTTGTGTATAATTATATAATTTACATTTGAGTGTTTATGCAAAGTGCTTAGTATTTTTGATTTTGTGTCCAAATACTTTCTTATAACTTTCTTTAGTAATAATATTTGTAAAACATTTTGTGTTTTCAGTAACTGGAGCACCTAAATATGAAGATATATTATGCTTGGAATCTGAAAAAGCTTGTTTAAAATGGATGTTACCTGACCTCAGCTCTAACAAATGCCAACTTCAGAATTGCACTGTTGTGTGTAATGCACTGGAACCCCCTGGACTTCCTCTTAAAAATGGAGTATCAGGGGAATTTCAAAATGACTTCGTTGTTGTAGATGTTATTGGACTTTCATCGTCTACAAGTTATAGCTGTGTGGCTTATATTACAAATGAGGGTGGCACATCCAAGAATGGTTCAAGTACACCATTTACAACTGAGCAAGATGGTAAGTTGTGGTTAATTAAAATTCTTTCTGTTATGTGACTGAAGACTGAATTGCATGCTGCAGCTGTCTTTGGCAGTAAACTTTCATAGCTTTGGTTGAGTGGTAATGAGACTTTAATAGCGAAGTTTATAATGTTATTTAACTCTTCAAAGCACAGTAGTTACTATATGTACCACTTGCTTTGACATTAAAAAATTTTGCATTTTGCTCACAGAGCATATTTGTAAGTTTCATATGATTCTCACAGTAAACAGTGATTATATTCCTAAGCAACTTTAACAAGGTGGGCATTAAAATAGCATTTCAAAGTCAAAAGGCATGTCATTTAGAGAACATCCAACAGGATTAAAAATGAAACGGATATGAAGGACTTGAATATATCTCTTTTCTTGTGAATTGGAATTCAAAAATGTCTATAGAATGTATGGTTTTATTTATAATTATGATTTTAATCCATAAATTTGAAACTAATTTTATCTTTTTTCATTTTTGGTTTATGGGTGTTTATAGTGCCAGTAGGAGTGATTGTGGGTGTCCTGTCTGCCATCATAATAGTGGGACTACTTGCAGTTGTGTTTGTCACATATCATAAAGGTACTCTGGTTTGGTAAGTTTGTGTTCTGATATATTTTTAAAATTTATACCTTGGGTATATATGAAGTATTTCACAGATGTGTGGCACAATGTCCTCACAGCACAGAGTGTCAAGATTATGGCCTTCTGGGATGTGATTCTGTATATTTTTATATGTAGGTTTTTCAAAATATGAGGTGCTATCAGAAAGTTCATGGACTGTTATTGTTGTAACTGCCTTGGTGAAAGAAGATGAGAGGGCAGGCCAAGATCACACTTCTGCAAGCCTATTGCATCAGTCTGCCATGTGACTCCATGCTGTGAACACGCATTGTTTTTACATAATTGCTTTTTTGACTTTGTGCTTCATTTTGTCTGCGATGGATGGCAAAATCGAGCAATGTGTCTGCGTCAAGTTTTGCATGAAGCTCGGTAAACCCTTGAAATGCTTCATGAAACTTTTGGAGAACATTCTTTAAGCCGGACAATGGTTTTTGAATGGCATTCATGTTTCAAGGCCAGTTGAGTGTCAATTGAAGATGACGAACGTTTAGGGTGACCAAGCACCAGCAAAATGACAGAATATGATGAAAAAATTCAAGAATTCATCCACAAAGACCATCACCAAACAATCCATGAGCTCACTGACACCGTTGGGATCAGTTATGGAGTTTTCCAGGAGATTTTAACAGAAAATTTTAATATATGCCGCATTGCTGCGAAGTTTGTTCCCCAACTCTTGACAAATGATGAAAAGCAGCAGTGTGTAAACATGCATCATGAGCTAGGAGAGAAGGCTAATGAGGACCCAACTTTTATCTTTAGGATCATAATGGGTGATGGAAGCTAGATTTACAGTGATGATCCAGGAACAAAGCAACAGTCATCACAGTGGAAGAGCCCACAATCACCAAGCGCAAAAAATATGCGGCAGGTCTGAAGTTGAACAAAGAGCACGCTCATTATTTTTTCTACATCATGGGGTATTGTTCACTGTGAATTTGTTCCTCCTAACACTATGGGTACAGTCAACTCTGACTTCTACTGTGACATTCTGAGAAACTTGAGAGAAAATGTGCAACAAAAAAGACCGGAAATTTGGCACAACTACAACTGGCTCCTTATCATGAGAACACGCCCACCCACATGTACCTGAAAGCCACATGTTTATCGTACCCCATCCTCCCTACTTGCTGAATTTAGCCCCCTGTGATTTTGCTCTTTTTCCCAAATTGAAAATGAAACTGAAATATGACATTTAGAAACATTATCTGACATCCAATTGCAAACAGTATTCAGCAGCTTTAAGGAAAATGACTTCCATGGTGCTACTGAAGCGTGGAGAAAATGATGGGATCGCTGTATATGTTCCAAAGGAGACTATTTTGAAGGATATGGTTATCAGAATTGAGTAAGTTAAGCCAGAATTTATTTTTTGACCCAGTCTGTGAACTTTCTGATAGCACATGTCTTCAGAAATTGTGTGGTTCCACATTCTAGAAGTTTGTGATCTTGTCTGATAGATTTTTATAACATATGTATACAACATATATGCATGTTATCTTTTGTTGAACATTCCAAAGTGAATTTGAAGTCTCTGTAAATCTACTGCTTCTATTAAAACACATTGTTATTTACTAAGGGGGCATGTGGTAGTATATTTGGTTGAGGTACTATGCTACAAGCCAGAAGGTTGCAGTTTTGAGTCTCTTTGAAGTCATTGGATTTTTAAATTTACATCCAGAAGCACTATGGCCCTGGGGTTGACTGAACTCCTAACGAAAATGAGTACCAGGAATCTTCCGGGGGGCTGGTGTAAAGGATGGCCATTGCATAAGGCTGACAACCTCACCGTCATCTATGAGCCAAATGTCTAGAAAATGTGGAAGCCTCAACACAAACCTATGGGCCTCCACAACCTGTTACAGGGTTGGCCTTACCTTTTTTACCTTTGTTATTGTTAGCTTCCATGTGCCTATAGACATTCTTCTATGTTACCTGCAGAGAAAGCCCATGACAATTTTTTTAGTGGTGGCTGCAGTGAAATTTGCCATGGCTTTTTGGATTTAAGGGAAACTGTGAAGATTGTCTTTTGTATATTTTTAATAACTTCCATTTCTCCCCAGAGATAACAAATGGGTTTGATTCTCAATAGCTGGCCATCCTTGGAAATGAGATTTGAGGCTTTCATGGCAGTGACAATGAAGATTACTGTTTTCTGAGATATAATGCCATATATTCTACTAAATTGTTACTAATGTTTTGGAGGAATGTTCTACCTCCATCTTGAGGGTTAAAGATACCTTCTGTGTGTAGATTTTTCAGATTGTTGTCAAAGTTTTGGAGGAATTTATATCTTCAGGGTGAAAGAGACCTTTTAGTAAGCTGAGTAGACACATAAATAAGCATCAAGTAGCATGCAGAGTGCTGTGCTAGTTGTTTTCATTTTGCTTGGCTTACCCTTTTATCTTGAAGATGGAGGCAGTAGCATACCCCAAAAATCTGTAAACTGCTAACAGACTACATGGCCTCACTTGCCATAAGTACCATAATCACTGCCAGAGGAACATAAAATCTCACATACTAACATTTATTGACCAATAATGTAGAGGTTTGGAAATGTGTATGAATAAGCTAGGTGAATGTGCCAAATGGGATGCATTAAGCTGTGAAAGCTAACATATAACTTTCTGGCAGAATTTGAAATGGTAGAATGAATTTAATTTCCAATTTGCCTTCTCAGAGGACAACTCTGTAACATCACAAAACTTCCCACATGATGACATTTCTTTGGTATTTTTGTCTCACACAGGCCACCCAAACTGTTTGCAAGAGCTAAGCAAGCTACTGTGCGACCTCAGCCTGTCCTTGTAAAAAAGTTTCCAGAGTACTGTGTTCAAATGTTGGAGATGCCCACTAGGCTAGGCAGTGAGTACCAACTGTTGGCAACACTCAGTGTTGATATATCTGCGTCTAGCTCCTGTGTAAATGGACAAATGCCAGAAAATAAGTGGAAGAACAGATACGTCAATATATTACCATGTAAGTATGCTGAGAATTGTTTCTTGTTATTTATTTTATTTTGGTTATTTATGGTCTATTTTATTATATGTAAGCATCCTGTTGCACTCTATACCATACATGATATAAACTCTGTCTTAAGTGCAACAATTTATTATAGGTAACAAAGATAATGTACAAATTAGACAGATATCAGCGAAGTAGATTCTGTTAGCAATGATGAAGGGAACAATTTGGAAGACCTGTGTTTTTAAATTTTAAACTAAGTGCAGTGTAACAGCTATGTGAGTGTATACACCTGATGATGGCCGTTTGCGGCCGAAACATGTAGTGTAGAAGAAAGCAAGACGAAAGACCCATAATAAATTGTTGCACTTAAGACGGAGTTTATATCATATATTGTATGGTTTATTTGTTGATGTCAGTAGCTCTGGCCATATAGCATCAAATAATAGGATGATTAGCAGATATAATGAATTGAAATGAATTTGGAAGGAAATGGTCATGGCCTAATTGGAGGCACTATCCTAGCATTTGTCAAAAGGGACTGAAGTAGAAGAGATTACAGCACTGAACTTAACCAACTTCCTTACTCTGTTACCTGCCAAATGCCAGGTCAGAGATGATGACTCAGATTTTAATTGCCAAGGATCTAATAATGAGGTGCCAGCTCAGGGCTGTCACACACTTCAGGGTTTGTGGGTATGAGCATGCGCAAGATGAGTATGGAGTAAGGATGGAATGATTATGAGCAGGGGAGAAATGAAGAAACTTTGATGAAAACCTGCTTCAGCACCACTTAGAGATGGTGACACTGCAAGATAATTTAAATGTGGTATTTCTATTGGTTACAGATGATGATACAAGAGTGACACTTGATTTGATTGATGGAGACCCGAGTTCTCATTACATCAATGCATCATTCATTAAGGTACTTCAGTTATTTGACCAGAAATGAAGTTATAGACATGTTGAAGCTACTTTCTTTTGGAGAAGCAAAAACAGTAATACAGCAATTAGATATATGAACTACTGTGGTAATTACTGAAGCATGCAGAATCACATATTTGCTTTTGTCCAGTAATAGGAAAAGTGTCCAGTCTGTATTTCTTTTTTAATTTTAATTTTTCAAGGATGAATAATATTGAAATTGGTTGAATGAAAGTTGTATTTTATAAAGATATTTATATTTTATATCAAATATTGGTTTTTCATATCATGGGCCACTTTTTAGGAGTTTTATAAATTTAAATTTGAGCAGTAGTGATTAAAATAAAATTGCATAACAATGTTCGGTGTAGAGAGCCAGGATAGCTGAGTCAGTATACTGATGGACTATGGACTGGTTGGCCGTGGTTCCATTCCTGGCAGGGGCAAGAAATTTTTCTCTACTTCACAGTGTCCAGACCAAATCTGGGGCTCACCCAGCCTCCTTTCCAATGGGTACCAGGGGTTCTTTCTCCTGCAGGGGGAGAGCAGCCCAAGTGTGAAGCTGACCACTCACCACCATCTAGCGCCAAGTTCATGAATGGTGGAGCAGTAGCTCCACTTCCCCTTACATCTTCATGGCATGGTACTTAATTGATTAAGTTTTGGGACAACTTTACCATTATTTTTCATTTTCAATGTAGAGCACCAAAGTCAAATATCGTTGAAGCATGTTGAGTGGTTTTAACTAATAAAAGGTAGGCTGACACAAACTGCATTTTTAATTTGTGTTCATTCTATATGCGTGCTGTAAAAAAAATAAATAAAAGCAGTGTGAATATGAAAGCACTGTCTTCTGGAATGTGATGCTGTGTAGTCTGGTAAGTCATTACCATTGTTTTAAAGGAGCTTGCTACTTCCATCTTCAGGACACCAGATTCCTCCAAAACGTTGGTAGCAGATGACATGGTGTCACATCTGAGAAATTGGTATGCTTGAAATAAATATGAACTTCCAGGCTGATTAAAATTAAATTTGATAGTGACCTATGTATGACAAAAACTCCGTTCTAAGTGCAACAATTTATTGTAGTTCTTTTGTCTTCTTTTCTTCTACACTACACGTTTCAGCCGTAAATGGCCATCATCAGGTGTATTTGTCACACGTAGCTGTTACACTGCACATAATTTAAAATTTAAAAACTCCAGCTTTCTTAATTGTTCATTTCTCCGTTGTTAATAGGACCCGATATATCAGAATTCCCTTGCTGATATTTGTCAGATACATATAAAATCTTTGTTAATTTACATACATCAATTTGATTTTTGAATTTTGGTATTTTTAAATCTTCAATTTAAATTTAAAATTCAAAATTCACAGGGATACATGTTTCATACTGTTATGTGTCCTTACTCTGTGCAGGCTCCCTGTGTGCATGCTGCTGCTTATCTTTAATACGTGTGCCATCTGGTGTATTGTGTGCTGTGTTTTATGTTGGTGAGTGTAGGATGGGAATGGGTAGTGGGGAGAGGGAGATACCGTTAGTCTGGATAGAGCTTGTGTAATATTTCAAACGATACACGAGATCTATACAGACTAATGGTACCTCCCTCTCCCCACTACCCATTCCCCTCCTANACATATGTAAATTAACAAAGATTTTATACATATCTGACAAATATCAGCAAGGGGATTCTGATATATTGGGACCTATTAACAATGGAGAAATGAACAATTAAGAAAGCTGGCGTTTTTAAATTTTAAACTATGTGCAGTGTAACAGCTACGTGAGAGAAATACACCTGATGATGGCCTTTTACAGCCGAAACATGTAGTGTAGAAGAAAAGAAGACAAAAGAACTACAATAAATTGTTGCACTTAGGACAGAGTTTGTGTCATACATTGTGTAGAGTGTAACAGGATGCTTAAATATAATATTGATAGTGACATTTCTACACATCTGATATAATATTAGTACTTCCCTAACTTGGCAAAATAATATGAAGTAATGGCATTTCCTCACTAGTGAATTCAATAGTTATTGACCTATGATGTGTGTGAAATGTGGATACACTATGATAATGTGAAAGTATGTTAGTTTAAGTCTGGCATTATACTATTTGTGCCACACAATTCTCCTTATTCAAGTCCTATGTGAAGATACATAAATATGGCTCTTTATGTGTGAGGAAAACTATGATCTTCCAGGGTTACAGTAACGATATTGAGTACATAGCCACACAAGGACCAAAGGAGGAAACATGTTTGGACTTCTGGCGTATGGTTTTTCAACATGATGTCTCTGTTATTGTTATGGTTACCAATCTTGTAGAACAAGACAAAGTGAGTACACAAGTTCTTCTCATGGTATAATCTATAAGAATAAAATAGAGAGTCAGTGTTCTAAGATGTCCAGTTTGTCAAGCAGAGATATTAGTGTACATGAAATCTGTATATGCGTAGCCAATTCATGTTACACCTGGAGAAATCCCAACATGCCCTTGCTAGGATATGGGGAAAATCTAAACCGTTTTCATTCCCATTGATGAAATATGAGGAAAAAGTGGAAATGTCATCTCCTGGCACTAGGATACAAGATGAATGATGAGATTATAAACAAATAAAAAAGCTGGGAAAGGAATACAGGAGAAATGAGGGAAGGAAATAAAGGAATGGAAGAATGAGGATTCTGAGTTGTTTATAAAGTAAACATAAATAATCACAAATTTATTTAACACTAAATACAGTTTATTACAAACAATGCACTTCTGATATGTTTTTTGGCCCATAGACCATCTTCAGGGCCATCTCTTGAAGTTTACATAAGTTTGATATATCTTATATAAACATTATTAATAAGGTAAGTATTTTGACTATATATTGTAAATATGGGGGTTTCATTATACATTCAGAACTAGTTTTAAGTGTGTAAGTTAATCCCTATCAGATTTGATTAGCCCTTTACAAACGTCAAAAGTGAGACAAAAAATCAAATAAAAAATGATTTTAACCAATTAAAGCTGAGAGTCCATATCAGTTTCATCAATTTCTTCTTCATATGTAAAAAGATATGTAAATAGATTATTATTATTTATTTCATCCATAGCAGTAGAGAATTACAATTCGACATGTCAAATATCAACAACCTCACATCAAAAATAACATAACATTCACACAGTGATTCATCACTATAATACAGCAATACATTTCAAAATACATTTTTAACTTAATTTAAGAATAATAAATACTCCAAAAAAAAAGACATAAGAATAAATATTTTAAACATTTACACAGATTTATTAACAAGCAGTTTATGTCAACAATTAATAATAATACGTGTAAATACCCCAAAAAAGGCACAAAAATATATAGACAGATTTATCACAAGCAGTCCATGTCAACAATTATTAAAAAATTCTTGAATAGAATAGAAGACATTACACAACAAATCATTCTTAAGTTTCTTCTTAAAACATTAAAATTTATTACATTCTTTAATTCAGTTGGAAGGCCATTAAATATTTTGGTTCCCATACTAATCACCCCTCTCTTGCTATGCTCAGTATTACAAAATTGTACATACAAATTGTGTTTATGAATAGTGTTATAGCCATGAACATCAGAATACTGGGTGGTATAAATCTTATTTTTTATTATAAAACATAAGATCTCAAAAATATATAAGGAAGCAACAGTTAAAATCTTTAATTCACGAAACAAATTTCTACAGGAAACTCTATTTTTAACACCTTTTATCACCCTTACACATTTTTTCTGCAGTTTAGAGTTTCAGCGTCCTTTTTCACCCCACCCCAAAAAATAATACCGTATTTCAACACGGACTCAAATTTTGCAAGATACACACTTCTTAAAACAGTTTGGCTCCCTGAGTCCCGTAGGGATTTTATCAAATAGGTAGTCTTGCTAAGTTTTTGACACACACATATTGGGTGTGGGTTGCCTAACTTAAATCTTCAGTAATGCAAATACCCCAAAATTTTACATCCACTGAACAAACCACCTCCTTATTGTTCATATAAAAAAGGGGGTCTGGTACTTGGAATAGATCTACATCCCCGAAAAAGTAATACCTTTGACTTATCCATGTTTATTATTAAACGATTTTCATAAAACCATTTTTCTAATTGATTCTTTACATTTTGAATTTTTTCATTTCATGATAAAATATTTTTTCCAGTAATCAATATATTTGTATCATCAGCAAATAGTACTACCTCTGCATTATGTATAACTTGGGGCAGATCATTTATAAGTAATAGGAATCAAAGGGGTACCAAAACAGAACCTTGAGGTACACCATATTTAATTGCTTTAAGGGATGAGGTAACTGTCTTCATTTTAGAAGACTTTTGATCCATATAGTGAATTTCAACAAACTGTAATCTATCTGTAAGATATGATCTCATCCATGCATGGGATATTCCTCTCGGTTCATACGGTTCCTACTTTGCAAGCAGCAAGTTATGATTAATAACATCAAAAGCCTTTGATAGATCCAGAAATATACCAAAGGCCAGTTGTTTATTATCTAGTGTTTTCTGAATTTCTCCGATAAAAGTTTGAATTGCTGTAAACCTGGATTTATTTTTTCTAAAGCCATTTTGAGCATTTGATATCAAATGGAATCTATTTAATAAATTTACAACCCTATTGTACATAAATGTTTAAAGAATTTAAAAAAAAAAACAGACAAAAATTGAGATTGGTCTGTAATTTGCAATATTTTGTTTCTGACCTTTCTTAAAAATAGGTCAAACTTTTGCAATCTTCATTTGATTTGGGAAAATGCCAGAACTTGGTGACAGATTAAATATAAAAGTCAAAGGCTTTTTTATGGTTTGGATACACTGTTTAACTATCATATCCGGGATCTCATCATAACCTGCTGAAATTTTCGTTTTTAATTTACTAGTAACCTGAAGAACCTCTTCTTCAGTAACAGGAGCAAGAAATAATATATTTAGATTTTGTATCACATCATTTGTAGTGGCATGGTCAATTATACAATTTTTATTTAAATGCATCAGCTTGTCTATGCTATTTACAAAAAAATCATTACATTTTTGGGATACATCCTGTGGGTTTGTAACTAACTTAGAGTCTGTTTCTAAAGAAATATTTTCTATTTCTGTAAAATTATTTCCTGACTTCTTTTTTATTATTTGCCATAGAGTTTTTGAATTTTTGACTGACCTTTTAATAATTCGGTCATTTTCTCTTTGACAAGCAACATAAATTACTTTCTTATCAATTCTCTGATATTTCTTCATATACTTCAAAGTGTGAACTGACAGGGACATCTTTCTTTTTAACAAACATAAAAGTTGCAGCCTCTGTCTAGACACCTTTATCCCTTGTGTGATCCAACTTGATTTTTTCCCTTTCTTGTTAAATACTCTTTTTAAGGGGAAGAAGTGCAAAAAATACTTACGAAACTTACTTAGGAAGACACAATAGGCACTATTTATATCAGATTGAAGATAGACCTCATCCCATAATTCGATTTTTAGTTGATCCTTAAAATTTTCAACATTTCTTCTTGAAAAAATCCTTTTTACCACATATTTTAAACAGGTAGAAGGACTGTGAACAAGTATACTCATAGCCAACGCAAAATGATCAGAAAAACCCATTTCTATAACCCTTGTAGTTGAATGATAAAAATTTTTATTTCTAATCATAACATCCAGCAAGGGACAAGTATTTGAAGTAACACAGGTTGGACATAAAACCGTGTTTTGTAGATTATTTGCTAACAGTAGGTTTTGTAAAGCCTTCTGATAGGTATTATCCTCTAATAAATTTATGTTCCAATCCCCACATAACTCCAAGAGATGCCCCTTTATTTTAACCTTGTTTAGGGTTTCCTCTAATAATTCAAGGAAACTTTCCTTGCTACTGTTTGGGGATCTATATATAGAAACAACTATGATTTTCAAATCCATTACCTCAATAGCTGAAATTTCAAATACACTTTCCCTTGCTAGATTTTTTACAAAGGGAAGCTCTCTAGTTTTTAGATCATTTGAGACAAATATACAAGTAACCCCATATCTATTTGAGATCCTACAAAAGTTAGCCACCAATTTATAGTGATCAATGTTAATATGTAAAAGATAATCTCTATAAAGCCAATGTTCAGAGAAGCATAGAATGGCAGGCTATAATGACCAAGAACTTAACAACACATTTAAAGCCATCACTTTGTTTCCCAGACTCTGAATATTATGATGTAAAATGCCCAAGTTGTACAATTTTTGAGGTCCATCATTACTAAAATTACTGGCAACTGAATGTCATGAATCTATCATAAAAAATCCTTTTCATGTTTCTGGGGTGGGCGCCGAATTCTCTTAGGAGGTAAATCAGTCCTTTTATGCTTTTCCTGGTTATCATCATTTACTTTTAAATTTATTTGGTCACAAGCTGGATCAGTCAATTTATTGTCCATAATTGGACTAGTACTCTCTTTATTTCCCTTAGCTGAACAGATACTCTCTTTGGGTACCTGAGTTGTAAACACACGATTTTCTTCACTTGCCACAGTGAGCCCATCACACTCAATATAGTCCACAGAGTCACCCTTTGGATAAGACTCTAGCTGAATCATTCTTACATAGTCTGCAAAAGAAGTTACTTATTAATCATAGTTGTTATGGCCTGCTGAGTTTATGTACAGAGTGTAACTGGAAGGCATGGACAATCTTTGGACACAAGTTCAACATACCAAAACAAGAAGAAATGTCCATATCAACATGTCTGGAAACATTTAAATTTGTGAGTCATAGCTCAAAGGGTATGTTCATAATAAGTGCAGAAATGTTGAACTTGTTCCCAAAGTTTTTGCAACTTTCAGTTACACTCTGTATAATTATTATTGCTGATATAACTTTAAAATGTGAATTTTTTCCTTACAAAATGCATATTTTTATCTCAGGTCAAATGTCATCAGTATTATCCAGATCTTCGTGAAAACATAGTTTTTGGAGATATGACAATACGCTGCACTACAGAGGTCAATTTTCCCATTCATACTGCTCGGACACTTGTCCTGGTGAAGGTATTATGCTAGTGTACATACTTCTAATTTGGAACAAAACTTTAACTACTGCACCACTCTCTTAACATCTATAGTTATTTTCATTGTGGAAATTAAGTATTTAGAAATTATTTAGAATAAAATATGGAGTTCATATACATACACCAGTAACACAAAACAAATGATAACAGTCCTAATATCTCATTGGAATTTTTGTTATTCCACTGCATGTTTCTGTTACAACAAACTATTATCAGGTGAATAAGCCAATGCACAAATTACAAGATCTTCAGTAAATATCTATAGATTATCTAGTGTTGGATCCATCACTAACCAAAATGTGTAGTCTAGTAAGAAAATATACCAACAATGTATAAGTTTTATTATAATTTGTTTTGTATGATGTATGTATATCTAAGAACTTCATGAAATTTATGCAGATAAGATGGAACTTATGAGAAAAGAAACTGTTGTTTCTTTTCTTAGGGTGATAAGAAAAGAAAATTGTCGCATCTACACTTCAGGGAGTGGCCGGATTTTGGTGTTCCACAAAGCACAGATATCATGATCCATTTCTGCCAGACCATGAGACACCACATGTTAGCAGCTGAACAGGGTCTTATTCTTGTCCACTGCAGGTATGTTCTGAAGGCTGCTGCTGAGGCCAGAGAATGGAGTCCATCCCTTTGACGTCTCCCTCAAGCTGTCATGTTTTACACTCTAGTTTGCATCCCCACATATCTCTCCAGTCATGTAGTCATTCTGTCAACATGAATATTGGTGGTAATTACCACTTTGGGCTGACATAAGGCTAGATGGGGCGTAAAGCTAGAAGCCTCAAGTGCTGTCACTCCCACCATACATGGAACTTTTTTCAGTGGCTTCAAATGGCCCCATTGTACTTCAGTGTGGGAAGTACGAATATAAGTGCTATGCTCTTGCTGTAACAAGCCAATTCAAGCCAAATATCCTGAATATTAAGGTCACAACAAAAGAATTGGTTTAAAGACATCGCACACACCTTTTCATATATAATCAACATTGACTATGTTACTTCGAATTAACATAGCCAATTATTGGTTACTGAATATTGAATGGCAATGAAATCCATGTGCCCAGTGAAGCTGATTTTGGCAAAACTGGCATTTCAAATTTGAGCCCCTATCATGCAATGCTACTACTACTATAGTTTTCTTTAGGGTGATAGTCTCCATAAATTACTGAAATTTAATCAAATTTGTTGCATGCGTTTTGAAGAAAGTCATCATTTTGGAGGGGGTAGGGGGTGGTCCATTGGAAGGACCCCTCCTCCTTTTTAGATAGAATGTTTATATTCACCGGGCTCTGAAGTATGGTGGATAAACTCTCACATTCCAAATTTCAGTAATGTCCCTAGATCCATTCAAGTGCTAGTGGGCTGCACATCCATGCAGTCTAAAGACATACAAGCTGTCAAACCTACAGATGGCATTCCAAAACCATTTTTTCAGGTTTAGTAGAGCTGAAAACCTGTGAATCTTTCAGAATTTCAAGATCATTTCTGTCATCTTCACAGTACTTTATTGTACTATGCATTTGAGAAAGTAAATTATGAAACATTTCTTATTGCACTCTTTGGAATTTGAAGTTGCTTTTAAAGTAGAGTAATAAATCTGCATCTGTACAGTTTCTTTCCTCTCTGCTATATTCTTGGCAAATATATGTGACTTCTATGCCCAGTATTAAACTTCAAACTGCTTCCCTACAAAATTCTAGTTCTCTCAGGTTGCATTCCTGTTGTACTACTATATAAGTTCACTATATTTCTTTTGTTTCAGTGCTGGAGTCGGAAGAACTGGTACACTTATTGCTGTAGATATCTTACTGCAGCATATCTCTGAAAATAAGAAGGTGGACATATTTGGTACTGTATTTAAATTGCGCAAACAGCGCACCAATATGGTACAAACAGAGGTGAGAGTGTTTCATGAATAGCTTGACATTCTTGTAGAGGAAACATTACCACCACCTCCACTGCCACCGCCACTGCCACCACTACCACCCGCTTCAGTATGAGGTCTATTGAGAGCTGTTACAGATATTACAAAACAGAGTCCTTCAATCATTTCAGAGGTCTTCCTAAACGTTTTTCCTTCTTGTTAATACTTTAAAATTATTTTAATATGATCAGAGGTCACCCTTTCAACATGTTCTTTCCAGTTTCTTCTGTATTATTCTGTAAGTTCTGTTATTTATGGAATTTGTAGTTCTATATTCCTTTCTTAATTCTTATTGTCCATGATTCACTACTGTAAAGCAAGTAACACTGCAAATAAAATTTTTAGTTTGGGATTTAAAGTCATATAACGCTGAATGTATACAACAAATTTTATGTACACATTGCATTTTGAAAATTGAAGAAACAGGAGAGAGTGGAAGAAAGGCAGGTTATTGTAATGAGAGGTTTGCAGATGTTAAAAAATGAAGTATATTTGGCTGAAAAAAAAAACCTGGATGTGATGTGGCATTGGTGACTGTTGAATTCTGCCAACTGCTGTCTCTTCTGCTACTTCTCGTCAACCGGGAATATGGCTGTATTGGATGAAGTATGTATCTGTGGGATTGTCAATGTTCTTAATGACAACCATGTAGAACTGTAACAATTATATGTATTTTAAATCGTATGAATTGAATTTACAGAATAGCTGCAAAGCTATGTGGAATGTTCAAAAGTTGGCTGGCCCTCAAAGGGCAGTTTGTTCCACCACGAGGGTGCTGGCAGATTTCGCTCCTCTGTAGTAGGCAAAGTCTTATGGCTGTTCAGCTGGCCTGCCTGGACAGTGATGTAGTGCTGCGTGCCCTGGTAGAAATGGCTGCCTTGGTCGGTTGCTGGAGTTGCGACAGCTGCCTGGTCGCTGGAGACTTGCGGCTACTACTTCAGTTGCCTGGTCGTTGGAGGCTTTCGGCAACTATGTCAGTTGCCTGGTCGCAGTGAAGAGCTGATGCCTCTGATGACCGGTCGCTCTGAACTGAATGTGATCACTGACAAATGCGAACTTTGGGCTACGCCTTTTATATCATGCTTGATGGGCGGAGCGAAACGTGCATTTGAGATTGTGAGCAATGATGTGAAGTTGGGCTGGACAGCGAGTGCTGTATAAATATGAGCGCAATGTCCGGCAATGTGATATTCACTTATGAGTGAGTGTTGTCTGAAAGACCGGCAAAACAGCGTGTTAGGTGGGGATGTTCCCACATCACTCCCCCCTCGCAAAAATTGATGCTCATATGTTCAGGTGAGCGGGGAAATTGATGAGGTGCCCGGAGTGTGTAGTCTTTGTAGGGAACTGTGTGTGTCGGTGGTCCTACGGTGGGGGTCGCTGCAGCTGGTGGGTTGATGGTGTTCCCGCGGTCGGTCTCTTGTAGGATGTAGGCCGGCTTGACCCTGTCTGCTGATACAGTGGCGTGCCTTCCGTGCACGAGGAGTTGCAGCGTTTTCTCTCTCCGTGACAGGACCTGGTAGTGCCATTAGCCGCACACAGGTCGTAGTTGGTACATTCCATGCGTTGAGGGATGAGCCTGCGGTGGTATACACAAAAGTCCGAACCTGTGTCGACCAGGAACTGTTGTTTGCTGACTCTGTCCGTTATGAAGAGACAGCCTGTTGTCGTAGTGCAGACATGTTCCGCCGATGATGTCTGCTGTATCAGTTTCCCTGCTGGCGGTAGGAGCAGGATCGAGTACAGTTTTATGTGCAGTCGCCGAAGCAGTGATGGTACCAGCAGGTACTGGACGTGGTGTCACCACAGGAGGGGGATCTGCTGCCAGACCAGCGGCTGTTGAAGGCAGGGCGGGAATCCTTGGGACTGGAGCCTCGGTCTCTTGGTTTGGTGTTGAGCTCCTTGAAGCGGGCGTGGAGGCGGTCCTGTCTGGTGCTGAGTGCAGCCACTTGGTGGGAGAGGTCAGTGATCTCCTTCCAAAGTGCGCCGTTGTCCGTGGGTTGACCAACGCTAGCGAGCGCCGGCTGGACTTCGACCTCGGAGATGTGGTCCACACAGAGGGCTGCGGCCTCCAAGTTGCTCTCGTTCTGGCCAGTGAAGAAGCTCTGCACCTTACGGGGTAGCCGGCTGGTCCAGACACTTCAGATGACATTCTCAGACACGTCTGGTGCGAGACTCTTGAGGTACCTCAGGAACTGGGATGGCTTACGGTTGCTAATTTCCTCGACTGTGAGGAGCTGCCAGATGCGCTGCTCTGACAATGGGGATAGCCTGCTCACAAGCTCGGTCCTCAGTAAGGTATAGGGGTCTCGTTCCAGTGGAGAGGTGATGATATCCTCCACCTCTGTGGCGTACCGGTGGTCCAGCTATGAGATGACATGGCAGAACTTGATGCCCTCGCTGCTAATGCCGGCAAAGGTGAATTGTGCCTCGGCCTGGGCGAACCACATGGCTGGTCGCTCGGGCCAGAACAGCAGTAGCCACACGGCCACTCTGGCTACTATCTGTGGCGTCCATGTTGAGTCGGGGTGACCAATGTGGAATTGTTGATGTTATAAATGACAACCACATAGAACTGTAACAATTGTATATATTTTACATCGTATAAATTGAATTTACAGAATAGCTGCGAGGCTATGTGGATTGTTCAAAAGTTGGGTGGCCCTCAAAGGGCAGTTTGTTCCACCGTGAGTGTGCTGGCAGATTTCGCTCCTCTGTAGTAGGCGGAGTCTTAACGGCTCTTCAGCTGGCCTGTCTGGATGGTGATGTAGTGCTGCGCGCACTGGTTGCTGGAATTGCGACAGCTGCCTGGTCGCTGGAGACTTGCGGTTACTACTTTGGTCGCCTGGTCGCTGGAGACTTGCAGCAATGTCCGTTGCCTGCTGATGCCTCTGATTACCGGTCGCTCTGAACTGAATGTGATCACTGACGAATGCGAGTCAGAGTCATGTTGCAACTGACAGTCAGTCAGTCTGTCTGTCTTGGTGTCGAGCCCCAGCTTGGGCTCATGACCAGATATTTCTTTTGAATGAAAGTTACTGTCTT